ATCAACAACTTTATTAACTAGAGCACACTGCCTATGTGCAGTTTCTTCTATTGTTAGATTTTTAACCTTGCAATTCCAAAGTTATTTAGGTCGGCACCTTTTCCCTAGCCTTTACAGTGAGATTGTTTCATATAAGTGTAATGCAGTTAGATTCTCTTGTCACAACCTTCATTCCTTCCTGGAAACCACCAACCTGCTAAATAACATATTTTTTTCCATTCTTCACAGCACATTTATTTCAGTAATTTTGTTATATCGGTTCTTAGCATGAGCATAGTGTTACACGATTTTTGTACATATAATCACATCCAAAACAAGTTCAAAACTTTAAATTGTAAACATTCTCATCATATGTAGAAATATTTTAATTAGTGTATTAAGTTTTGCTAACTGATAAAATTTGGAAGATATCATAAAAGAATGTCTATTCTTAATTGTGTAGTGAGAATTATTTGTTAATTACATTTCTACAATGTTAAATAAAGAGGCAAATCTGTTCTGAAAGCATGTCAAATTTTAGGTAAAACGTTAAAAACAAACAAATCTGTTAACAAATGAATGTTTGCAATAAAGAACATTAGATTTTCAAAATATATTGATACAAAAATGTAAAGGGTAAATAGTATCTTTGTTGACAAAATAGGAGGCAGCATGGATTCACCACTTTGTCTGAGAAATGCAACGGGAGTGAAGAATATTTCCTTACCACAAATAATTTTCCGGATGATGTACATATTACTTTTTGAAATATTTGTTTAAGCAAATGTCCCTCCACTTTTTAGTATTGAAAAAGCCATTCCATGTGATTTTTTAAAAAACACTTTTACACATCTAGATAAAATGTGTAAAATGTTTGTATGTATTTAGAACATACAAACAAAATATAATAGCTTATTTTTCTATGCAAGTCTTACGGAGAATAAACAGAGCCTTGATTCTGGTAACACTGCAGAAAACATAATTTTCCAATGTGAATAGTATTTTTTAATATGGTATACATTGTTTCCCTCTTTGTGTTGTAAAGTTCTGTAGGTTTTGACAAATGCATGGTGTCATGCGTCTAACATTACAGTATCATACAAAATAGTTTCACTGTCCTAAAAACCCTCTGTGCTACACTACTCAAACCTCTGTCCTATCCTCTGAACCTTTGGCAACCACTGATCTTTTAACTGTCTCTATAATTTTGCCTTTTGTAGAATGACATACAATAAAAATCATGCAGTATGTAGCCTTTTCAGATTACCTTCCTTCACTTATCAGTATGTATTTAAGGTTCATCCATGTCTTTTTATGGCTTGGTAGCTTGCTCCTTTTCATTGATGAATAACATCCCATTGTATGGATATTCCACGATTTGTTTATCTATCGCTTCTTTAAGAACATCTTGGTTTCTGGAGAATATGAATAAAGATGCTATAAACATTCATATGATGGTTTATTGCAGGCATGTTTTAAAATCAATTGGGTAAATGTATAAGAACACGGTTGCTGGACTGCATGGTTAAACGACATTTAACTTTGTAAGAATCTGCCACACAGTCTTCCAAAGTGACTGAACTATTTTTTTATTCACCAACAATGAATGAAAGTTCCTGTTGCCGCACATCCTTACTAGCATTTGGTATTATCAGTTTTTTGGACTTCAGACGTTCTAATGGGAGTGTAGTGGTATCTCATTGTTGTTTTAATTTGTATTTCCTTAATGATAAAAGACATTGAACGTTTTTCCTTTTCTTTTGACCTCTGAATATCTGCTTTGCTGGGTGTTTTCAGATCTTTTGCTCACTTTTAACTGACTTGCTTGTTTTCCTTTTTTCTTTTTTTTTAATTGTTGAGTTTCAAGAGTTCTTTGTATACTTTGGGTGTAAGCCCTTGCAAAAATGTTTTGCAAATATTTTCTCCCAGTATGTGATTTGTTTCTTTATCTTAAAAGTGTCTTTTGCATGGCAGAAGTTTAAGTTGTTTTTTCTTTTATGAATTGTGATTTAGGTGTTGTATCTAAAATCTCATTGCCAAACCCAAAGCCACCTAGATTTTTTTCCTGTATTTTCTTCTAGGCTGCTTATTTGTGTCAAATGGATTTAGATCAGCCAGGCAAGAATAGGGTATCCCATTCTTGTTGATATGATTTTAAAGAGAAAACTTTCTGACAGTCTATGATTTAAAAAAAAAATTTTTTCTCAGTAAAAGTGCAGCTATGAAAGAGGTTGTTCTGACTCAACTGCAGAAGCCTGACCTTGGGAGAAAAGTTGTTTCCTGTTAACTTTGCAGCTGGTTTTATCTGTGACTGTTTTTTGTGTGTCTGCTTTAATTTGCACAATGAATGGACAGTCTAATGTTTTACTTTTCCAGAGTGAGCAGATATTTTGCTTCCTCACCACACAAGCTCACCACACAATGCAGGGTTCTTAGCCTGCATCGACTTGATCATAAACTCCGGAAAAGCCAGATATTGGTCAATATTTCCTTCCAAAAGTGGAGATGATAAAGTAGAAGTATAGAAATTATAGAAATCCTAAAGTCCAGACCTTCCTTGTTCAGCCAGGTTTTGCTCCTTCTCCACACACCTTTGTTCTTTTCTCCAGCTTCCAAGGAATCTCACAAAGGGAGCGGAACACAATGAACCTATTCTTTCCTGCTTTAAATCCAATTCCACGTAGTCGCGGACACTGTTGGGCAGGATCTCTGGCTTGGTGGAAAGTGGGGCGTGCTGCCTAAAGTGATTAGTTTGGAGACCCTCTCTGTGCCGTCGCTATGGGAATGCCAGCTGTGTGTGCTCTGGGTGCGGAGCGGAGTCGCCAGGACACACGCAAGTCTCCACATCCTCAGCTGGCCCGGGGCTTGGGTCCTGGCCCCGCCCCCTGCGGACCCGGCGCCCCGTCAGTTCCGTCCCCGGCCCTGGGAACTGCTGTTGACCCCACTCTGCGTATCTGCCGGAACCTGGCTGGCAGCACTACTTGCTTCCCCGCCAGGCCGAGTGAGGGCGGAGCCGGGCCTCCAGCCGCGAGGACTGGAGCCGCGGGAGGTGGAGCCCCGGTCCGGAAACCGGGAATCCGCGGCCATGACGGTGCCGGTACGCGGCTTCTTGCTGCTCCGCGGCCGCCTTGGCCGAGTGTCGGCGCTGGACAGAAGCACAGCACCCTCCGTAAGGGCACCGGGAGAGCCCGGGAGCGAGTTCCGCGGCTTTCGGAGCAGCAGTGTGAGGTACGAGGGCTGCCGGCGCCGGTTGCGGAGCCGCTGGCGGTGGGAGGGCGGCGGGGGCGCGGGGGGCGCTAGCGCGCGTGGGGCCCAAGGCTTGTGGGCCGCCGCGCGGCGGCGGGCTGGGTGGAGGACCGCGTTGGCTGTGAGGTGGCCTTGCGGGTCGCGCGGTCAGTTCGCAGTTACCTCAGCTCGGGGAACGAAACCGTGCTCTGCTCTGGGCTCTCGCACCAGAACGTGCCATCTTTCCAGCAGGTGCAGTTGATTTAGGAAGACATTTGAGGCACTAAGAAAAGGTACCATGAAAACACGTGGTCGACTTTGGCTAAACATTTGTTTTTGCTTTGGTTATTTTATTTTAGTGTTTTGTAAATAAAAGAGTAGACGTTGTCCAGATGACTTACTAATGTTTGCGTTTCTGAATTCCTTTGTTAATGGTTTTGTCGAGGTCTTTTCCAACCCTAAAATTATTTATGGTTTCACAAAACCAGATATCAATGCAGATTTCTCAGTCTTTTCATGTATGGCTGTCCCTAAACCTCTGTCAGGTGATGAGACTTAGATTCATTACATCTCTTTGGACTTGGTTGCTGGGGAAGGACCATGCAAATACAAAAGGGTACGCACTCTTCTGTCTTCTACTTTGCTTGTCTTACTTGCAAAATCCGTCTTAACAAGATGAAAATATATCTTCTTGACCCAGAGCCTGTGAGTCCAGAAGAACCTCTGTTTTCAGACTTTCAGAGCTTCCAGAAATGCGCTTTCATTGCCATTTTATGTCCAAAGATTGTATCTCACTCGAGTTTTTGTATCCCCCAGTGCTCAGCACAATCCCTAGAAAAAAGCAGTGATAAACATACTGTTTATTTAATTTAAATCAATTAGCTCCCTATTGTGTACATTTCGATCTTAGTCTTGAGTGACTGAATATAAAAATTACTTCCTATAGCGTTTGCTTCGGACATAGTTTCTAGTGACTAGGTCTTCCACAATGATATGTGAGAAAATAACTGAATCAGAGTTGTGTAAGCTGTAGTAGGGTGGGTAAGAATATGCCACTTAGTTTGGAACTACTAGCTAGCTCTACTACCTAGGAAAAGCAGATTCTATAGAATTCTATTTGTATTAAAGAATTGAGGGAATTATTTGTCGTCACTCTAAATTACTTGTTTGTATTATTATTTTTTGAATTTCAGTTGTTTTAGGGGTGCTTTTCAGGGTGAGGATAACTTGTTTCAAATAGTACAACTTGATTAATTTCCCTTTGTCAGCTTGCTGTAAACAACTCCATCTCCCCATCTTCTCCATGACCTGCATACATTGAATGGAAGTCATTACAAACAACAGTTACAACCCCAAAATTTGGGTTTAGCCACTTGCTTTGTACACACACACACACACACACACACACCCCCTCAACTCATGTAGAATTCAGAACTTTTAAGTAATACGTAATGACCTCCTTGTAATTTAAAATAGTTGAGTGCAAAGGTTTTGGAAAGCTATTATCCCCGTGGACGATAACAGTTACTAATTTCAGCCCGGCTGCTTTCAGTTCCACTTGATGCGTATTATAATTATAAAAATAAGTAATATATTTTGATAGTTTTTATTTTTTAAAGACGGCAGTAAGCAAGTTAAGATAAGGCGGGGGTTTTGACGCCCTCTTTGTACTGAATACCATCTCTGAAGGTGAGGTTGGCCCCAAGGTTGAGAAACACCTGTGGACTTGTGGGTCTCGGGTGGGGAGGAATTCGGACAGTGTGTTGATGCTTATTGGTGTCTCTTTTCTCTTCTAGGACCAGCAGAGAGAAGAGATTCCATCTTCCAGAGGTTGCCACTGTCTGCCTCCCCACTTGTCCCCATCCACAGTCATCTTTTTTATATATATAGTGACACATTAGTTGTCTAGTTCTTCATAGTTAATGTGATTTAAGTCTGACATCATTTCTTTTGCCATGAAATTTACACCTTAGTGTTATTCTCACTGAAAATTGCCTTTAAGTTTGATAAACTCTCATCCCAGTGATATTGACTGTTTTAAATTAACAGATTTATCACGATTTCTGAGCTATGTAGAGCCTTAATTGAAAAAGTATCTTTGATTATTTTTTCATATTTTGGCCACATACCTATAATAATGGAATATATACAATGCTTTTTAGTGGAGAATTTTTTTAAGTAGAATTTCAATAAATAATGTTTAATAGAGTTTGGAAGTTACCGTATTTTGAAGTATCATTTAACATTTTCCTCTCAATGAGTTTTCCTTTAAAATTTGCAATGGATTTGTTTTCCTGTTTATGCATGAGAATTTAGGTCTTATTAATTGGGGGAAATTAATGTTAAAGTAGTAAATAAGCCCTTCTTGTTGCAGCTTATTGTTTCTTGAAATGAATTAACTATCCAGGCAAAAGGTTAAAAATGAAAAAAAAAGTCTTTGTAACTAAATTCTTCCCATTTTGTTGTGGTGTGTGAGCAGTTTACAAATCAAAATGTCCTTGGTTAAAAGTCATCACCTGAGTTTGTGTGCAGTGCTTTTCAGTGTGAGAAGCCTGGTGGTAGCCCATCCCATTTGGGTGGGAAGGTTATAGACCTTGCCATGCTCAAAGCAGATTTGTAGGTATCCTGCAATATGGGCACTTTCACAAACCCCGCTTTGGCTTATTCTACCTGAACTACTTATTTTAATTAACTAAATGGATATCTCAAGCATTCCATGTTTATCCTGTTGCTCAGTGAATCCTCAGATCGTTAATTTGGTAGATTCTCTTTTTTCTCCTCATCCTATTCTTTTAGCTTTAAAAAAAAACTGTGTACTGCCTACAGGTCTTTTGGAAGTTTCACCTTTCTCTTTGTCGCATTGGCATCGGCTTTATAATTTTTGCAGCTAGACCACATTTTAAAAAAATCTACATTTTTGGACCTAGTAAAAGATACTTATTTGTGTTATTTAAGTATTCATGTCTTTTACCATGGGTAGTTAAGTTTAATAATTAAAAAAGACACATTTTATCATTAACAATGTTCATTTTTTTTCAGACTCTTCCCTCTACTACTTACTCTGTATTTCTGTCTCTTCTAATGACTAGGAAAGGCCGTTTCTCAAAATCATCTTCTATTTAGTTGGCAAATTTGATAATGTGGTGGTGTTCCTATCTTCCTGCTATACCTGTTCTACTGAAAATGAGATATAATAGCCATCTGGCTACAATTTTGATTTCTAAGAAATTCTTATGTCATTTTAAATTCAAAAACTAAATATTTCAACATTTGGTCTCTCATAAGTTTTATTTTCTTTGTTCCAGCTGTTCAGAAATAGTGTGTTCTAATATCTCCACAATCAAGATTTTTGACTAAAATGGATCAGTAGATGAAAAAGAGGGACTAGTAGTAATTTTAGATCTCGTTAGTTAATCATGATCTTACTAATAATTTGGCAATTTCTTTAATGACCCAAATCTTTGTTGTTCAAATGCCTTGAAGTTGTTATTCTTTCATATTAGTACTCTGATGGGAGGATGAAAACAGCAGAAAGGAGCAACACCAGATGATCTTTCCATGGGCCCATACTCTTTCAAGGAATCCCACGGAACTCATGAAATTACGCTTTGGCTTAGAGATAATTAAGTTGTGGAAGGAGGTTTAAGAGAGGAGCTTGGGTGAAATTTGAGCTGTAAATGAGTATGCTAAATTAAAGAAATGATTAGTAATAAGTGATATTTGCTGTTAAGAAATTCACTTGGGATTTGAGAAGACATTGTACATGCAAGGTAGAAAATTTTATGGTCAGAATAGAACACAATCTGAACCTAAATTAACAGTAGTGTTAAAGAATTCAGGGCAGGGTGTTATCCAAGAAGGCTTAGCCAGCTGCTCCACTTAAGGTTACATCATAAGTGGTTTCTGTGTTGCTATTGTTTTTATTAGCATTTCAATGACTGCATCATGTTATATTAAATCAATTGGCCCTAACTTACCTAACCATCTTGCTGTTTTTTAATGTCTAGTTCTTGGAAAATATGTAATAATTTACTCTCAGATTGAGGTCATGTTCTTGTCAACATCATACCAACCAGGTTTGTTCACTTCATCATCTGAACTCTATGTAGGTTTCTATAATTAGGCTCATTAGAGTGTTCCTAGATCCAAAGACTATCTAAAGATCTAAAGATTCATAATTCTAAAGTGAGGGTGTGTGTATAGTTTGCAACAGATGTTCTCTCCCCACTTTTTTTTTTTTTTTTTTTTCTGTTTGTAATTAACTGGAACTGCAATGAATGCCATCATGCTTTCAAGGAATTCAGTTGTATTGTTGAAAAAGACATTTTTCTTAATATCTAAGGAGCTCTTGATGTTAAGCACTTTGCTAAGATTTTGCACATACAGTATGTCCTTCCATCCTCACAACAACTAAAGGAGGTAGATAGACACTATTACTATCTATTTCCAGTTAACAGATTGAGAAATTGAGGCTTAAAGAAATTAAACTTGTCCAAGTTGACACAGTAAATACATGGTGAAGACAAGGCCTGAACCCACATCATCTTTCCAGTGTTCTTCTCTACAGACAGTTTATAATTATTGACTTATCTCACTTTTGCTTTTTCTTCTTTTTGAAACATTTATTAATATTAAATCTCATAGAACTTTTGTGAATCTAGAAAGCTAATTTGCATGTATATTTTGCAAATTATTTTGTTAGATTCCCTCAGTTTGAGATGTTCTTAACCTAGGACCTCATGGATAGAATTCAGGGGATTCATAAACTTGGATTGGAGGTGACTAACTTCTAATAAATTTAGCTTTTCTTTTTTCCATTGTCAGTGTTGGCAACAAATACATAATATCATTAGTACATGTGACTTGCTAATATAATTTACAAATACTTCAGTATTACGAAGTTGAGGCAGATACCACAAAACATCATCTGCACATCACTATTTTGTTATGGTAGTTAGACCTACCACTAGATTCTGTTATTTAATACTTTTTTAAAAAAGCATTTGATAGTATTTCAGTAAAATTGGTTTTCCTTGTACTTTGTATTTTATATTGAATGTTTAAAGGGATTGTTCTGGGAAAGAGTCCACAGGTTTCAGCAAACAGGCCAAGAGCTTTTGTGGCACAAAGCTTAGCATCTAAGGTTCTTTCTGACAAAGTTCGTTTGAAAATGAATGGATATTGTTTAAGTAGTACAGAGTCAGAAAGTTAACTAATTAAAAAACTGAGTATCAAGAAGAATCATATTTAATGAAAATAAGTTATTTTACTTTTTATTGATTTGCAAATGTAATTTCTAGTAAAATTACTTCCAGATGTGAATATGGTACTTGGGGTATGAAACGAATTTTTTTTAAAGAGGCCATAAACGTAACACAGGTATACATTTATTTTAACAAGATACCTCAAAAGACTCCCTATACTGGTGATTGGTTTTATTCCTTATGGAATTTTGTCGTTTTTGGGGGGTTTGATTTCTCTTGTACAAACTCAAAATACCAAAGATATGCCCTAAGATGTAAAGCAGTTAAACTGTATGTTAGGTCCTGGGTAGAGCTTGGAATTCTTAGTCATTGTATTAGGATTTTTCATCTTTATAGAGATAAAATGGTTCATTGCAGCTCTAGTTGAAGTTGTGAATAAAGATGAGATTGAAACTAAGATGTAGATTTTTCAAGTATACGAATTATAAAGATGTAGATTTTTCAAGTATACAAATTAAATAAACTATTGATCTTGACTAAGTTTTATTTGTTGTTATGCTACTTTTTTTGTGGAAGAGTATTTTGATACATAGAAATAATCCCCTCCTTTGTTACTTAGCTCTAGTTTATTAAATACATCATTTGATTCTAACAAGCATAGATAAGGTGGTTAGTTTATTTTCTGGAAGTACAAGTAAACAAGCCCATGGAAACAGCACTAAGTGCTGAAGACTTTCTGCCTCATAATATTTCTGGTTATCGAAATATGTTTCCATCTGTTATTTAGCAGAAATTAGCAGAAAGAGCCACTTTTGCAAACCAGCCAATGAACTTTTAGCTAAATCCTCTTATGTAATGTAAGGTCAACAAGAGAGTATTCCTATTAAGTAGATGAAGAAATTGCATGCCGTTGAGAGAAGCTAAGTTGCTTGCCTAACTTTATTATTGCTACTAATGGTGACCCAGAGCTCTGATGCTCAGGACTTCTGATTTCAGGTGAGTAATTTGTACTACATAACGCTGCCCTGCTGCTCACTAGCTGCCACCTCCCCTCTTTAATTTTTGCCTCCTGATGAAGCCATATTTTGTGGCTAGCCCAGCAGTAGGCAGGGCTCCTTTTCTTGCAGCCTTTAGGGGAAGGTCGTTTCTGCCTTTGTGGGAAACCACCTGAGCAAGTAATGACAGGGCACATCATGTAAATAATATCTAAGGGGTCCAATGGATTTTGTTTTTGATATGCATTAATGCCAAGGTCACTATATAATTTGTTGACCAAACTAGCACATTTTTTAGAGTAAAAAGGGGCATGAATGTAATGAAAATTATATATCTGGAATATTTATTGGCTTACAAATATATTAATGAACTTATAGTTTCAAACCATTTTCAAAATTAACATTTTAAGAGATAATTTATGTCCTTATATGCTAAAATAAAAATTTATATTATATGAATATTCAGCATGAATAATTATTCCTGGTGCATATTCACTTACTTGAATCAATTTCTTAGCTGTATCTTTTAACGCCTTGATACTGATAATTTTCTGAAAAAAGTTAATAAGATCTTATGCTTTATTATTATTATTATTTTTTGAGATGAAGTCTTTCTCTGTCACCCAGGCTAGAGTGCAGTGGCGTGATCTCGGCTCACTGCAACCTCTGCCTCCTGGGTTCAAGCGATTCTCCTGCCTCAGCGTCCTGAGTAGCTGGGACTACAGGCGTGCGCCACCATTCCCAGCTAATTTTTGTATTTTTAGTAGAGATGGGGTTTCACCATATTGGTCAGGCTGGTCTTGAACTCTTGACCTCGTGATCTGCCCGCCTCGGCCTCCCAAAGCGCTGAAATTACAGGCATGAGCCACTAGGCCCGGCCCTTATGCTTGATTTTAAAATTAAATTTTCTGCAATTTTCTTAATAGTTGCAAATAGAATCTTTGCTTTAGACAATGGTTATTTTAGTTTTAAAAGTACTGTCTCTATAGATGCTGAAGCACACTTAAATTGCTAAATGGAACAGTCTTAATTCTACGTTTTGCACATTGAAATGGGAAGATATTTTAGCCTAAATATTTTCAAAGGTGCTATCTTGGTGTATCTTTTCAAAGTACTTTTCTTTGAGAAATACTTACATAAAGGTCATCAAATAAGTTGTTTTTGTGTATGGTTTTAAAACTAGTTTGCCATGTTTAGATATGGGAAAATTAAAGTTTTTCTCAATTATATTCCAATATTTTACAAAATAGTAATTTATTCAATGAAATTTTATTCAACAAAAAATATGAGCTCCATTAGAAGATTCTTCTCAGACATTGAACTATTAATTGCCATTATAGATGTATTTATTTACTAATTCTGCTGTACACAAAGTTCCACAAACTAGGTGGCTTGAAACAGCGGAAATCTGTTTTCACACTTCTGGAGGCTGGAAGTCTGAAATCAAAGTATCTGTAGGCCCATGCTCTGTCGACTAGCTTCTAGTTATTGCCAGCAGTCCTTTGTGTTCCTAAGGAGTTCGCAGCTGCATAACTCCAGTCTTTGCCTCTGTTGTCAAATGGTTGTCTTCCCTTCTGTGTGTATGTGTCTCTGTGTCTCTTCTCATAAGGACAGAAATTAAAATTACTTGTGCATTGTTTGAGCTATCATTTTTTAAATTGGTTTACTTCTTCCCTTCCTTTTGAAGAGAGAACATTTCTGTTTGTAAGCTTTGGTTTCACTGATTACAATTCACTAAAAACTTTAAATCTGAAAATGTCCCTACCCCCATTTAGTTTATTTGTTGAATATGTTGATTAATAGTTTCCAACAACTTTTGAAAAAAATGCAACAAGTGTTGCCCATCCCAGTGCCAGGCCTGCCCCCGCAGACACAGCCAGTAGGCTACTCCTTGCAGACCCAGGCTCTAGGCCTGCAGTAATGCCAGGGCAGCATCCAAGGATTCCAGCTTAGCCACTGCAGACTTAGGCATCAGGTAGAAACTCATGGACCCACACTCTAAGCCAGCCCCAGTACCAGGTCAGCCTCCATGAATTCAGGTCCAAGCCTGTCCCCAGGGACCCAAACTCTGGACCCAACCCCATGGTTCCAGGTATGAGGTCTTCTCCTGCAGATCTAGCCACCAGGCCCATTCCAGGGGACCCTGTGCCAGCCCAGTCCTTACAGACTTGGGACCAGGACCATTCCAGTGCCAGGCTGGTCCCCATGGGCTCAGCCTCAAGACCTACCCCAGTGCCGGGATGGCGCCTTTGAACCTAGGCTTCAGGTCTGTGTTTGCAGGCCCAGGTTCCAGGACTGCTCCTATATACCCAAATGACAGCCCATCCCAGTGGACCTACACACCAGATTAGCCCCCTGTGAGTTGAAGTACTAGACCCACCACCTGCTGACCTAGGCATCACCTGCCAACCAATCCAAGGGATTTAGCAACAAGCCCACCCACGGACCATGCCGGATGGCCCATCAAGAATCTCTAGACTCACTGACTGGTGAAAGGCTTTCCCTACTGAAGCCAGCTTATAAAGACTGGAATAAATGCCTACTTCTTCAAGTGATAGACACCAATGAAAGGCCACAAAGATTATGAGCCATTAGGGAAACATGACACCACAAAAAGAACAAAATAAAGTAACAATTGACATAAAGAAATGGAGAGCTACAGGCTGCCTATCCAGAGAACACAGACAACTAGACAATATCAATGATTTAAAATACTTCAAAAGGGTAAAAACAAGGTACTGTGGGAGCCCATAGCAGAGTCTCAGGGTACAGGGTTCGGAAAACATTACCAGAGTGTTTTACGAGCTGAGACTTGAGCAATGTGTGGGACAGACTTGGAAAAGTGGTTGGAGAGATGAGAAAGAGAAGGAGTTTCAG